AACATTTATGACGATTGGAAATCAATGTGAACGCTGAAAGATTTGCGTACATCGGTATGACTTGGGAATCATTCTGTTCTGTCCATAATGAATATTAACCCTCTATTATTTATCAGCATACTACGTTACTTCTTAAAGAATAGATAGAATTTATGTTCATCCTTGAGCAATGGTATCTGTGTGAATCTAAAATTATTCTGCTGTGTTACATATGCCTATGACATGAATACAAAGGTTTAACGTCATTATGCGACCCACGTTAGAATGTGAATTGTTTTGTCTTTGTTAAGTGTACTGTAATGACATGATATGAAAAGAAATGCTCTATTTTCTGATATGTTACGTTTTGAATCAATGAGTGATTGTCCACATATATATAAGTATTCATTGCATCCTTAGAACAAGGCCCTTACCCGAGAGTAAAAATACCGTGGTCTTATGGCCCTTGCCCAAGGGTAATAATACCGTGATTCATGTATGTTATGCTATACTATGACACCATATGGATGATTCGGTCTTTAAGACCTAAGGATTTCTGGTATGGAACAAAGTGTTGTACGGAACTAAGTGTTGATATACGAGTCACCTCTAGAATCCGTACGAGCCACCTCTTGAGTCCATACATATATGAACTGAGGTATATGGTCGTTCTGTGAAAGTTAAGAGGCCTACGACCGATTTGTGACATGTGTGAGGCCTATGGCCAAACTGTGACATCTAGGCCTATGGCCATTCTGTATGATCTGTTAGTATGAAACAAAGTGCTACACGGAACTAAGTGCTGCAATGCGTGTCACCTCTAGAATCTGTGCGAGCCACCTCTTGAGTTTATACATGCATGTTAAGGGCTTAATGCCACTCTGTTAAAGGGCTTAATGCCATTCTGTTTAAGGGCTTAATGCCACTCTGTTCGAGGGCTTAAAGCCATTCTGTTTAAAGACTGGGCCTAAGGCCGTTCTGAAATTAGTACAGAATTAGATTAACTATAAGTTCTCTGCATTTTTATACCTTGTGATTCAAGTTAGTTATTAGATTATCACGTACTATTATTCATTGAGCCTTGCTCACTCTGTTTTTATGTATGTTTATGTAGGTGAGCCATCGGGGATTGACACTAGAATTGTGTTGGGGTCAACCTGTTTGCCAAGCCGCCTAGGGTACGCCTTCGTGTTGAGGCCTTAATTTTGATTACTGGGAGTTATGTAATTTTAGGAGTCTTATTTAAGTTTGTGTGAGATTTGCATAATTCTGTGATTGTATATGTAATTATGGGAATGCATGTAAATGCTAAATTAATTAAGCCATCATGTATGCACAAGCTCAATGGATGTTCCCTTTTATTGATGTTGCTTCTGCTTAAGGCCCCGTATGTGGTTAAATATTATTCTAAAATTTCTGTTTTGAGGCCTACGTACAAGCCGGTCATGGACCAAACTTTTAGGGGTGGGTTTGGGTCGTGACAACGGTTAAGGAGGTTCAGCGGCTTACTGGCCGAGTTGCCGCCCTCAACCGCTTCTGCAACGGACAAGTGCCTCCCCTTCTTCAAAGTTCTTCGACAAACTTTTGAGTAGACAGCAGAATCCGAAGAGGCCTTCAGCAGTTGAAACAGTGCATGGCCAACCCCTCCTTACTTTCTCAGGTAATCACGGGCGAACCCCTCTTTCTCTATTTAGCCGTGTCAAACACCGCAGTTAGTGCAGCACTTATCAGGGAAGACAGCTCTGTCCAACGACCGGTCTACTACATCAGTTGGGCTCTTAGGGGAGCAGAACAGAACTACCCATTGCTTGAAAAAATGGCCTTAGCCTTGGTCATAGCCTCAAGATGACTCTGACCTTACTTCCAGGCCCACTCCATTATCGTTCTCACCGACCAACCGTTGAAGAAAATCATGCAACAACCAGAGTTGTCCGGCCGACTTATGCAATGGTCAGTAGAGCTCAGCCAGTTTGATATCTCCTACAGACCTCGAAGGGCGATCAAAGGGCAGGTTGTCACCGATTTTATCCTGGAATTCACTAATCCCAGTCCGACCATGGCCCCACCACCTTCTCAATCCCAGACTGAGGCAGAAGACCCCCATTCTTAGACCCTCAACGTCGACGGGTCATCCCGCAAAGAAGGTAGTGGGGCTGGTCTCATCCTCACCGCCCCTGAGGGCGGTTATTTCAAATGTGCTCTTCGATTCTTGTTCGATGCAAGCAATAATGAGGCTGAATATGAGGCATTGATAACAGGTCTCCGCCTAGCTAGAGACATTGGTGTCAGCCATATCCGGGTGTTCAGCGATTCCCAGCTTATTGTCAGACAAATTACGGGGAAATTTGATGCCGAGGAAGACACAATGAGGGCTTACAGGGATATTGTACTCCCCCTTGCTCGCCTCTTCAATACTTTCCATATCAAGCACATTTCCCGGGCGAAAAACTCCAATGCAGATGAGATGGCTCAATTAGTTTCTGCAGACCAGTCAGACCTCAGCCACGGTGTCCGCCTTGAGTACCTGACCCACTTTGCCATTTCCTCCAACCAACAGGAAGTCCACTTCCTCCAAAATGAACCTATCCCATGGGTGTCCGACATCTTTCTATTTTTGACAACGGAGGAACTGCCAGATGACAAATAGTAGGCCGCCAAAGTCAGGCCCGGTCATCCAATTACATTCTTGTTAGTGGTCTCTTGTACAAACGTGGCTTTTCATGCCCATACCTGAGATGCCTCAACCCTGCTGAAGCGACCTACGTGATGAGAAAAATCCATGAGGGTGTATGTGGCAATCATTCGGGTGACAGGTCCGTAACCCACAAAATACTTCGCACTGGTTATTTCTGGCCTACTCTCAATCAAGATGCGATAGACTTCGTGCTCAAATGTGATAAGTGCTAGCGTTTTGCCAACATCCCCCATGCTCCACCTACAGAATTGATCACACTTTGCAGTCCCTACCCATTCGCCAAATGGGGGATCGACCTAGTTGGCCCATTGCCCACTGGCCGAGGCCAAACCAAATTCGCCGTTGTCGCCATTGATTACTTCACTAAATGGGTGGAGTCAAAGCCCCTTGTTACAATAACCGAGCGGAACACAACCAGATTCATCTGGTAGTCGATCGTATGCAGATTTGGCACCCCTCAAGCCATTGTCTCCGACAACAGCAAACAATTCGACAATACCAAGTTCAGGAAATTCTGTGCAGAGCTTCAAATCCAGCAATGTTTCTCTTCCCCAGGTCATCCCCAAGCCAATGGCCAAGTTGAGGTCACCAACCGTTCTCTTCTGAAGATCATCAAAACCAAGTTGGAAGCTGCTAAAGGACTCTGGGCTGAGGAATTACCGAATGTACTCTGGGCCTACCGTACTACCGCTCGAACTCCCACTGGGGAGACCCCCTTTCGCTTAACATACGACGCTGAGGCGGTCATCCTAGTGGAAATCAGTCTTTCTACCCCAAGGGTTCTACATCCGAATCCAGAACTAACTGAAGAGCTGTGTCGGTAGACCTAGACCTAATCGAAGAACTCCGAGAAACCACTGCAGTTAGACGGGCCTCATACCAACAGAAAATGAGAACACATTATAACCGCAAAGTCCGACCGAGAGAATTCGCAGTGGGGGACCTTGTTTTGCAAGAAGCAACTCTTGCCACCAAAAATCCGACTGAGGGTAAACTGGCAGCCAAGTGGGAAGGACCTTACGTTGTGAAAGCCAAACCTCGTCCCGGTACTTACTGACTTCAGGATATAGAAGGTTGAGACCTCCCTCATCCGTGGAACGTCGAACACTTGAAGCGTTATTTTCAATAAATTCCTGTGTCTATTATTGATCAGTTCTTGTATTTTCTTTTTGGCAATCTACACACTTGAATGTTTTTCTTCTTATCTCACATTATGTAAATTTTTGATCCAATGGGTTACACTTTACATGACAACAATCTTATATCTCAATTATCTGTGTGGTACCTTAATAACGTCCTGATTGCAGCACTCAGCTACAAGCCTTAGCCAGACTGAGCATGACAAGCCTCAGCCAGACTGAACATGAAAAGCCTCAGCCAGACTGAGCATGACAAGCCTCAGCTAGACTGAGTTACTTAAAGCCTCAGCCAGACTGAGCATGAAGAGCTCAGCCAGACTGAGTTACTCATAGCCTCAACCAGACCACGTTAATCATGGCTCAACCCAAACTAAGCACGAATGAAGCGCTCGACTAAGACCACTATTGCAACTTCATGATTGTGGCATAGTTTCCATACTTAGTCAAATTCCAGGTCCACTATTACGTCTCTTCAACATTCTTACAACATGATTTAAAACTTCACATTTTAGGACCTTTGCAGTTCAACATTTTTTAAGTCAGATTGGCTCCCTGTTGGGTTATGATTCGCAACTTCACGTTTTTCACATTCTTACATTTTAAACTTCACTCTGCATTGAGGTTTCACAAACTTTTACATAAGTTTATTTCATAATTTTATTCATTCACAAACTTTTACATAAGTTTATTTCATAATTTTATTCATTCACAAACTTTTACATAAGTTTATTTCATAATTTTATTCATTCACAAACTTTTACATAAGTTTATTTCATAATTTTATTCATTCACAAACTTATACATAAGTCTATCACAGGAAAAAAAAAACAAAAAAAAAAAAACGAAAACACAAAAAACAAAACAGCCAACATTCTGAATACAAATTTGGTTCACCCCAATCATTTCTCTTCGCTTGAGATGAGGTCTTCTTCTTCAACACCCTCGTTTAAGGGGGTCTGGGCCACGTCGTCTTTGTCGATCTTCACACTGCTGAAGTCCAAGTCTGGGAACAGCTCTTCTACTTTGCGTTTAAACATCTTCCAGCCGCTGTCCCAGAACTCAGTCATCTCGTGTTTATAGAAGTCTGACCGCTGGAAGCTTTGGATCACTTCTTCTTCACTCCTACTGTCATGACCCAAACCCGCCCCTATAAGTTTAGCATCGTAACCGGCCAATAATCCTGGGATTACCGAAGGCCTCTGAGACAGATTAACATAATATTAGGGGCTAGCGGAAGCAAATAACAATATACAACGTCCATTGAGCTGTGCAGACTTATATGAGACAGAAAAATTTTAAACTTTTTATATACACCTATACACATTATCTTTAAGTCGTCATATATATATATATACAGATTAGACAAAAAGGGACTTAACCTTATTTACAAAATACACAAGACTTGTTCAACCAAACACGAAAACAAAACTTAAACTTTAAATCACATAGCGATAATCACTTGACATATTCAAAACCTCCACAGGAGGCACATAGGCTGGCTGACAAAAACAGATTCTAGGCAAATGCGTCTGAGCTTGGTCACGCACCTGATCACCTACATACATAAATAATACAGTGAGCTAAAGCCCAGTGAATAATAACAGAGTAAAGGGTTTTAATGAATAACGTCCATCACAGAGTCAGAAATCAGATTCTCATGCATATTCAGATTCCAAATCAGAAACAGATTCATATACATATTCATAATCATTTTCATATTTAGATTTTGCATATAATCATACGTGGTACATCCATTAGCGTTAACAAATCCGATGACCCATGAAAGGACGACCTTGAAGGCATTTCGATAACTCATGTGCACAGAGACGTTTCCGATGACCCAAAAAGGGACCTGATGACCCATAAAGGGACGCATATCATATGATGCTAAGGATGCCACGAATGCATTTTAGAATCTTGGACAATCATTCATTCATTTCAAACATAGTGTAGCATTTCATAAACTAATCATTTCATATCATAATGTTCAGAAAATATTTAGCATTGAACATAACTTTACAAAGTTATTACTCACAGATAGTCGAAGAAGCAAATCAGACGGATTGGACATATCAGATAAATCAGGCAGACAATGGCGCGTAACCTACACAAGTATATAACATATACACATTGAAATACAATATTACTCATTTGATCAAATTTGACTTTTCTAGTCTTTTTTCGTCTAAATAGTCCGAAGTTCTACTACGCTTATTCTTTCTCATTCAAATAAACCGGGTTCTTATTTCACATATTCTGTCATTACTAAGCCCTTCTTTTCCAAATAGACTGATCTTTTACTTGGTTTCTTAAATAATTACCACTAGATCAATGATTCATTCTTTAACTAACTAATTTATGTTGATTGGTAGCTTATTAATCTTTATTGAGTCATAAATCATGTCTAGAATGCTTTGAAAATAGATGAGAATGAAAATGTGAACTAAATGCAATTTTTCAAAATATGCTAAAAAGGGGTCTCCACTCGAGCGCTACTTTGGTCGCTCGAGCGGACTGTAAAATTTGAAAAACTGCTAGGAGCTCGATTTTCACGCTCGAGCGAGACTTCCCTCGCTCGAGCGGACAACGCAAATTCTGAAATTCCAAAATTGCAATTGAAGTTCAAATCTGTTATTCAAAGCCTCAAAACATGTACTTTTGGTACACAAAAGCGGAAAACCATTGTATAATTAAATAAACACTTTCAATTAGAAATCAATTATTCAAAATCATGCTCCAATTGTCCAAATTTAGTTTTAACTCATCTTCTCCATATCAAACCCAATTTCAAGCCCACAAATTTTAAAACACGAATTAAACTTTCAAAACTCTTGAAAATTCATAATGTACGTACAACTGGAACTCAATTTCATGTTAGGACAAATAAATTCCACCCAAAGTAATTAATTTTCTAAATTAATTTTCATACATTTGATCATAGCATCAATTTCTCATTTTCTCTTTAATTACATAAAATTGGCCTCAAGTTCTTTCTATTTTCCTTGAAATCATGAAATTGGAGTCATAAAACTTCTTATAAATTTTCCAACTAATTTCCATAATCTTAAACTCAACTTAATTTGTAACCTCAACTTAATTCATAATCAAAATATGTTTAATTTAAACAAAATCTTAAAATACATTACATGCTTGGATTAAAAATCTAATTATAAAATCAAAGCTTTAACTAGCATTAGGGTTAATTCTAATTTTCCATAAACTGGATGTTCACAAAACATTTTCTTTTTCTCTTCAAAATATGAGATTGAATTAATCCAAATCCTTCAAAATCCATGATGTATGCATCATTGGAGTATTAAACTTGTAAAATTTATTCATGCATGTAACAAATGGAACTTAATCTCATGCAAGATCACAAAATTAAAGTCAAAATAATTGATTTCTAATTTAATTTCCATAAATTGAACATAACTCCATTTATTCATCATCTTGCTAACTTCATCTATTTATATGAAATTGAACCCAAGTTTAACAAATTTAAGAAATCATAATTCATATTCTTGGTCCTAACTTGATTTTACATGCAAACCCAAATTTAATCTCATAAGTCTTTTTACACATGAATTAAATCTAAAACTTTGAAATTCTAACATGCATGTGAGGATGAACCTCACATTTATGAAGAATAATAAAAATCAAACTCAAACTAATTAATTCTAAATTAATTTCCATAATCATGAATCTAATTTAATTTCTTGTTCAAAACCCAATTTCCTACAAACCCATGGAATTGGTTCCATAACTTTCTTAATTTCAAATATAAAATAAAGATTCTATATAAATTCTTACCTTCGGTTTTAACTTCAAAAGTTATAGTTGATTTCCCGTGGGTCTTCTCCCTCTCTTCCAATTTCTTGAGTTTTCCTTTGATTTCTCTACTTCTTCAATCCTATGGGTGTTTCATTCTCTCTCTCTAGACTCTCAAAGTCTTCCAGCACAACAAATGAATAACACTCTTGAACCCATCAGAATAAACACACTCACACACACCTCACTTCTACACCATGTAACACGTGTGCACACTTGTACAATTCTTTGAGATCCACCTCAACACTTACATGCACACCCACTCACATAATTTCTCTGCACACACACCCACAAATTCTAATTTGCTCCATAATTTAATTTATGTCTAGAATTAATTTAATTAAGCACCACTCAATCTTAATAAATTTTGATTAACACTAAATTAGTTAATTATAACTAATCTCAAATCCCACATAATTTAATTAGTCAAATTGACTTTCATTAGAGCCTAATTAAATATAATTAAATTTAACAATCCGAATCAGATTTTTAATCAAACTCCCAAAAAGGCTCCAAATATTAAATTAAACTCATTTCCATCCTTAATTTTGATTTCTTAGATCATTTAATCCTTTAATTTCTGATCATACTCAAAATTTCGTCAATAAATTACATATTCAAATTGGACACATCATAATTAAATTTAATTTATAATAACCACAATTCTCAATCCTCATGACTTAATCAACTCTAATTAGGACCTAATTAATCGAATCTCAATTTTACTAAACTGAATCGAACATTTAATTAAACTCCCAAATGGGTCCGTAATTAAAATTAAATTGATTCAACTTCTCAATTTTACTTCCTTAAGCCATTTGAACCCTTAATTCCTAATTTTGAAATAACTCTTTAATAGAATCATATATGAATTAGATCCCACAATTCTCATAAATCCCAAATTAAATTATAATACTCAGCAATTAAATTCCAAATTGCCTTAATTAATCAAGTACTAATCATTATACGTGATGGGGTCGTTACACCTACTCCCAGCGGTTGCCCCCGACGAGCCAGCCCCCCAGACCTCTTTCTCGCCAAGCTGTTGGCGATCGCGGCATCGACAGCCATCTGAAAGTCAGCAGACCCCTTGAACTGCCCTACTGTTACTACGCACAGGTCGGGGTATGCTGCCCTTTCAGAGGCTGCCTTGGTCCTTTCTTCCTCCAACTCCTTCTCCAACCCTGCATTCTCTGCCGCTGTTCTGGCATGCTCGTCTGCCAGATCCTTCTCCAACCCTGCGATTCCGATCTGCTTCTTCCTTTTCTTTGATCGAACTGGCGCGCAGATCCTCGTTACAAGTCATCGCCTCATCCCACCATTCGTTGGCGACGGTGCGGGCTGTCTGGGCCTCTTCCAGCTTCTTCTGCTCACCAGCCAGTTGGAACTCGAGCGACACCACCTTGCGACATTCATCCTCTAGCTCCAACTTGGCCGCGAGTAGCTCAGCATGGGCACAATCGGCAACATTGCTCTGCACCACTGCCAACACCCCCATCTTCTTCGCCTTCTAAGCCTCCTCCAATCCCTTGGCACACGCACTCCCCGCAGCCATCCTCCAGCCTGCGCTCTCCTTCTTGAAATTTTCAATTTGGGCCTTCACCTGCCCCAACTTTTCCCTCTCCTTCCTCACTTCAACCTTCGCCGCCGCTGCCTTGTTCAACAGGGCTCTTGCTAAGGCGGTCACCTCCATCTGGGCAGAGCATAAGCCCTTCAACAGCTCGGCCTGAGTAAAACCAGCCACCGAGCACATGGCTGCGTCTTCGACCACCCCCAACAGGTGATCTGCAGCCATCCTGGCCTCTCTCCCTTCTCCTTCCACTCGCCCGGACACCGCTGGGACGTGGTAGAAGGCGGTCTTCAACCCAGCCCTCTCTCATTCTCTTTGGGGCGCAAGACCCTCCCTAGGCTGTGGCTCTGCCCTCTGCCCAGCGCCACTCGCTCCACTTTCCATTAGTTCTTTAGGGCCAGTCGTCCCACTCTCTACCCCCTTAGCTGCTTCCCCTAACCCCACTTCGGGGGTCTCTTCCGCCGTCGCCTCTTTCCTCCTCTTCGGGGCTGGCCCCTTCTCCCTCTCTCTTACCCTTCTCTTCTTCTTCGCCACAGCCTCCACCTCCTTGTTGGCCCTTTCCTTCAAAGGATCAATTGGAGGCGATCGTGGCTCAAATTCACCCAAGTCCTTTTCCCCCAGCGGTTTGGGGCACGGTCGGACCCTCTCCCTCGTGATCGGCTTCGGCGGCCGATCTTCTTGTGACTCTTTGAATTTACTGGCCTTGGCCAGAATGTTCCTATCCTCTGCCTCTTGTGCTTTCCTTTTCGCCTCTAATTTCACCGGTTCGAGCTCTCCACTGGTCGGCTGAGGGCCCAACCTTGCGGCAAACAAGGCTGACGGCTGAACGAGCTCGTCCCATTTGGCGCCCTCCTTCTCCCTCCATGCCTTCACATTCTTCACCCTCTCCTCAGCTGCTGTCCCCAACTTTGGCTCCACAGACTTGGTGGGCACTCTCCACACCGTGCACACTCCAACTCCTCCGTTTGCGGACACGTAGAACCACCGCGGCCTCTACCCCTTTATTGATGACTGCAAACCCGCCACCAGGCCCCTCCCTGCCGCCGCTTGCAAAGTGACCCATGTTTCTTGCTGCCCCGAGGCCTTGTAGCATGCAAAAAACTCGTCCACTGTCATAGCCGCCCCCTCGTTCGCCCTCGGCCATGTGCTTGCACAGGCTAGTACAATCTTCCACGCGTTGGGCATTAGTTGACCCGGCGCCACTTCCAACCGGTTTAGGACATCCACTACCACCTACGGAAGTGGTAACCTCAACCCTCCTTCAACGCCTCCTCGTAGAGGGCAAACACCCCCGATCGGGCGTCGGATAGCCTCTCATTCGTTGTCGGTAGCTTTAACTCTATTTCTGCGGGAATCTGGTATTTCTCGCTTATACCCACCAACTCCTCCGCGGTAATGGTCGACTTATCGACCTTTGTATGCCAGTGATCTAGCTCAACCTGGCTGATTGGCTGCGCAGCCGCTATCATTGTGGACGAACGAGGTCGCCCCACCGGCTCCCCCTCGCTTCCCACTCGCTTCTTCGTCCGGTATTGTTCTGCCAAATCCACTGCATCGTCGTCACCCCCCAATGGATCGACCCTTGCGTTTGTTGCTTCCTCTTGGGCTATCTCTCTCGTATGTCTGCGAATAGCATAAGATACTGGTGCTAGATAGTTCACGAAATGTTGCAGGGGTGCATCACTAGCGACGAAGGAGTTTACACTTGAAATATTTTGGTTGTTTGCAAAAAGATACGTGAAATGGATAATACCAAAAGCCCAAGGTTTGCTTATATTCCAAGGGTCACAATTAAATTTTGCCAGTTTGAAAATTTTCAAAAAATCCGCCAAAACTGTCTTTTTGACACCCTATAATGACCTATCGTTTCACTTCTTGCCCAATGCCTAACCTTTCCCACTGCAGGATCCTGCCACGTGTACGACCACGATTCACTGCCCCCCCACCTACCCTGCCTTTTCCATTTCAAATCACCATGTGCCCGCCGTCCCTCGAGGCCCGCGCACCACCACCCTCCCTTCGCGGTCGGCCCTCCTCATGGTCGATCCCTTTGCTCGGCCACCCTTCGCGATTGGCCCTCCTCATGGTTGGTCCCTCCGCTCGGCCACCCTTCGCAGTCGGCCCTCCTCATGGTCGATCCCTCCACCCAGTCACCCTTCACGGTCGGCCCTCCTCATGGTCGGTTCCTCCACTCGGCCCTCCTCATGGTCGGTCACTCCTCTCGGTCGGCCTTCACCCTGCCGATCTCTCACAACCCTCGTTTTCTTCATTATTCCCATCGTTGGGCTAAAGCTGCACTTGGGAATGGGAGACTACTGACATGGGTAAGCCCATAAAGATTATAGCCCACCATTTAGGGCCCAATACATAACTCAAATACTAAAACCCAACATTGCTGAAGCCCCACGTAGCAATAAAAACCAATGACAGCAAGACACATGGCAAGAGAAGGGCAAGCCACATAAGCAGACAAAGATCTGCAAAGTTATTGCCACTGCACATCGCCATTAATGAAGCCCCTTACAGCATTTATTGCGAAAACCCCTCTCCGTCGAGACAGAATGCCTTCACCATGAACAAGGTAAGCTAGAGCATAGGCTTTCGGCCAAGGTGACGGGCCAGAAGGGACAACGAAATGATTACCGGAGGATATAAGCAAACGTCGAAGACAAGAAGAAGGTTAAGCTTTTCTATCTTTAATTCATCTCTGCATTCTATTTCTCTCTCTAACTTGCTCGTCGGAGGGTTCACTGGGAAACTCCCCGTTCCCCGTTGAACTTTTGTGCAGGTCTTCTGGCGAGCTTCGCCACCCCGACATAGATTGAGGAGCGTGGATCAATCCGACCCGTTCCACCTGGAACAAACTATATCATCAATGTGCAATAATCATTATTGTGAGGCCTTTTGGGCTCATTTATATGATCTGAATTGTTTATTTTTTAGACTATATTGTATATAACATATCTGCAAAAAATTATATTGATCGGAGATTGGTGACCCTTTAATTAAATCACATTTTTATCTAAAAAAATAAATGGTAAGTGTAATTTGAACTATAAAACTAAATACAATAGTAATTTAATGAAAGGATTACTGATGCCTAATTAATTTAATTTTTTACAACTGTGATTTACTGGATATTCTATAAAATAAACGATTTAAATTATTAAAATATGTCCCAAAATCAACCCAATATGCTGCACACCAATGGCACTCCAAATTCTGCAAAATGTAATGACTACCATGATGCAATCCATATTATTAATGTATCAGTAAAAAATATTTGTGCAAGTCGCATGTTATTATTATAATAAATTTAGATTTCACAAATACACTAATAACTTTTGTGATAAATTTAAATTTTACAAATAAAAATAACCAAATCCTGCAAAATGTAATGACTACCATGATGCAATCCATATTATTAATGTATTAGTAAAAAATATTTGTGCAAGTCACATGTTATTATTATAATAAATTCAGATTTCACAAATATACTAATAACTTTTGTGATAAATTTAAATTTTACAAATATAATATTTTTAGTGTTTGATTAAAGGCAATATTTGATTCACTACAATATAGATAAGATCGCTCTATAAG